CAGGAAGATTACTGTGAGTTCGAGGCCAGCCTGGGATACATAGTGAATTCAAGACCAGCCTGAACTGCACAGTGGAACTGAAAAAGACAATAAGTAAGTAAGTAATATCTACAAATTATACTCACATAGCCTGTAAAGAAGGACAGACAATGTAAGTATAAAAGTGACAAAGCATAAAAACATCTTGTATTTTGAATTTGCTTTGCTTTATATCTGTGTTTCACTGCTTTAGTATTCCCTGTATAAAGGTTCATGACTTCTTTATGAAATCTTTTTTATTTTATAGTATTTTTTTAAAAGCCTCCTTGTAGCACTTAATGCTTTTCTCTTGATATAATGTACAACATATACATTCTTTTTATTTGCATCTGCTTGATAGATTTTGCTTTCCCTTTGTTTTAAAGTAATCTGTTTTGTTTTAGGTGTTTCTCTTATGAGCAGAAATTTTGGTTTTTACTGTCTGACAGTTCACCTTCCTTGGGGATTTTTTCCTTTATCATGACTGTGTCTGGCATCTTATTCTGTGCTTGCTTTTCCTCCTCTTCCTTTCTCTCCTTCTGTCCCTCCTTCTCTCCTCCTCCTCCACCTCTTCTTTCTCTTCTCTTTCTCCTTTTCCTTCTTGTTATATTTTAAAGTTTCTTTCATTTTCCTCTCCATTCAGAGAACTTCTTTTATTCTGCCAGTGATAATATTTAAATTAAAATATACATAGTTAATGCTACCACAATGTTAATGGAATCTCTGTGGGGAAAAAAATTTTTTTATTGCCTTCTTTTCCAGACTCCCCCTTCAGGTGTATTGAAATCATGTGCAGAGCTACAGACTTAGAATGTTTCTGAGGTATAAAATTGCCCTTCACAATGATTCTTAAACTGGCATTAATATACACAACTACCATGATAATAGTTTCCAGTGAAGTGTTCTGGTTTCTCCCTGACTGCTGCTTTTTCTTCACTGTATCCTCTTTGCCTCCGCCCTTCCTTTCTCAGTGCTAGAGAATGAACCCAGGGTCTTGTGTGTACTAGACAGGCTTTTTACCGCTCAACCGTGACCCCAGCCCACATTTCACATTTCTTAATTCTTTATTTTGACTTATTTTCCAGTTGGCTGGGATACAGTCTAGAGGTTTTTTTTTTTCCTTTTCCCAGAATGAATACTATCTATGTGGGTGTTGTAATTTCTGGGTGGTTCTTGTCTAAAACCATCTTTAGTAGCTTCTGTTGTAGGAATTTGTTACATTCTTGGGATGCTTTTTTCTTTATAAGTAATTTGTGTCTTTTCCCCCTTCATTAAGTTTTTTTGGGGGGAGTGTTTTATTTTTAGTGAACTGTAACTTTTTACTAGGTCCTCTGTGTGCCTGTGTGTACACTTGCACATCTGTGAGTGTATGTGTGTAATAAAGTCTTAGTACTCAGTGAATTTTTCTGGTGGAATCTCAATATTTTCTTTAATTTTTTTCTTGATTTTAGCTCCTTTTTCATCAGTTCACTCTTAATTAGTACTCCTAGTTGTATCATGGAACCTTCTTTTCCTTTCCTGAACATCTCAAGATAATACATATTCCTGTTAGCTAGTGATTCTCACTGGTGACGGAGATGCATACCTTATGAGTAGAAGTCTTTATTCTTTTTTGGGTGGATACTCTGAACTCTTATCTCTTGAGAAGGTAAATTGTCTACTTGATTAAGTGGCTTTGTCTGAGCTAGGGGTCCAGTAGTCCCTCAGTATGTGCAGGGGATTGGCTACAGGACACCCTCTGGTATACTCTAGGTCGTGTTTAGATTGCTTGTAATACAGAATACAAAGTAATTTCTATGTGAGGATATATGCTATATTAAGAAATAAAGATAAGAATAAAGTGCATGTATTCAGTACAAACACAATTTTGTGTTTTTTTAGATATTTTCTGGTTTTAGATATCCAATTCTTTTTATTTTAAAGAGAAAAAATAAAACAATTTCAAAACAAGATAATAAGAGGGTAACAATGGTTAATATTCATTTTTTAGATATTTTCAATCTGTATTTCGTTGAATCTACAGATGCAGAACTACAGATCATAAAGGGTCAACTGTACATTGAAGTTCTAAGAGATAGTTTTGGCACCCTTTCATCAGTTGTTTTGATACAAAATTGTCCTGAGCCAGGCATGGTGGCACACCCATGTAATCCCAGGACTTGGGAGGCTGAGGCAGGAAGATTGCTGTGAGTTTGAGGCAAGCCTAAACTGCATAGCAAGACTGTCTCCAAAAAAAAAAAAAATTGTACTAGTTGCCAGCAGGTAGAACACAAGTGATATTACATTTTGAAGTACCTCTCCGGAGCAAAGAAAAAGAAAAGAATTATAGATTAAAAAACAAAAGCATAAATACCCTACAGCTACATTACCATGTGTATTGGCTATCCTAACATGTCTTTTTCTTTTTTCATAATTTTATTCTTTTTTTCCTCTTAGTTTGGGGATAATTTCTTAAGGTAGTATTCAGTATAGGTCATCTAATTGGATCTACTAAGTGGGTTCAGTATGGACTTACTAATTTGTTTTGGTTTTGGGTTTTTGTTTTTAAGACTGAGTTTTGCTGTGTAGTTGAGGATGGTCTTAAACTCACTATGGAGCCCAGGCTGGCCTCAAACTCACAGCAGTTCTTTGGTCTCAGACTCCCAGGTGCTGGGATCACAGGTATGTGCCACCATGCCTGGCTGGATTTACTAATTGTGTTTGCTATAGTGCCTAGTTTTCTAGTTACTGTCTTTCTGGAGTGTTTTTCTTTGGCAGTTGTGTCTTTTCATCAACATCATCTTTGTATTGCTCCTTTTTTTTTTTTTTTTTTTTTTTGGTTTATGACGCCCTATTCTTATTTGAATTCTATTGAGATATTTCTGATTTTCTTTCTGTTTCAAACATCTCTGCCTAAGCCCATAGATTGGTCCTCTCTCCTTTTGAACTGCAGAATATTTTTATATCTAGTTATTATCCCATTATTTGCTTGTACATTTGCATTTGGTCTGTAGCTGAGATGAATTCTTCAAGAAATTATGTAAATGATTTTTCCTCCAGAACATTCTCCCTCTGACAGCCCAAAAACCCACTGGTGCAGTAGCCCATACCTAGTCTACCTACTATACCTGCTTGTATGTAAACTACACCTGCTTGTATGTAAACTATATGACAGATCACGGGCTGCTCCTGTAGTTTCCAGGGATACATACCATCAGAGGCTTGAGAGTCCAGCTTTCCCTCCTCTTCATCCTGCAGCTCTTAGGGGCTGTTTGTGAGGGTGGTGTGTGTTTGTGCATTAAAGCATTGGAAGGAGGGAAATCCTAAAGACACCTCTGAGTTAAATAGTTTTTAGATCCACTCACCTCTATACACATTGCTTCTGCTGAAGCCTTTCAAAGAGCTGGGAACCTGCTGTGTAATCCAGGAATGCTTTTTAGCCAGCTTGGACCACTTCTTGTTTAACCTTACCCACTCCATGCCATATCTTTATCTTTATCTTTATCTTCACCTGAACCTGTCTCTAGTTTTGTGTAGATTTGTTTTGTTTTGTTTTGTTTTGTTTGGTTTTGTTTTGTTTTGTTTTGTTTTGAGACAGGGTATCCCTGTGTAATTCAGTCGGGCCTAGAACTTGCAGAAGTACTCTTGCCTCAGCCTCCTGAGTTTTGGGATTACATGCATGCGCCACCATACCCAGCAAAATGCTCTCTCCTTAATTTCCATTTCCGTCCATGAAAATTTCACTCATCATTTACTTTGCAGTTTAAGGTCATTTTTTTTTTTAGAAACTTCTGAGATTCCCTCCACCATATGGAATTGGCCCTTTATCATGTGATCTGCCTTGTATTCTAGCTATTTATATTTTAGTCTTCACCTTCACATTTGCATGGTGAATTCTTTGAGTCCAGAAACCAGGTCTTACTCACCTTTACTGAGAGGCATTAGAATAAAAAAATAGATTCAACACTTACTAAACCTCATGAGACCTTTGGCAAATAAGTTATCCTTTGAGTAGACTTTCCCCTCTGCAAAATGGACATAACAACCTTTTCTCATGAAGTTGTTTTGAAGATTAAGTGAAATAATATTGCATAGTGAGCATTGACATAAATGTTACTTCCTTTTTCTATACTCCTTGTGTACCCCTGGCCCATACGCACTTCATCTATGCAGACCTTTAGTTAATGATGATTCAGTGAATAAGTGCAGCTCCAGAGTGCTTTGCATGAATAAATGTAGGTCCAAAGTGCTTTGCACAAAACTCAGTTTTGCATTAAGTCAGTGGAAGAGTCCAGAAAATAATCTGGGGGTCCTGAGTATCCCCTCCTTTTTCCCACCTGCATATACTAAGTGAAACTCTTCAACTTCAGTTCACTCTCTAGAAGAAGGTTTGTTTTGTTTGGTTGGTTGGACTTTCAAATAAACAGTTGCTTTCTTACCTACTTTAAAGTTTTAGAAAGAAATAGCCACTGATGGAATCTCAAAAGAGAAGCAATATAGTGTTGCAGTAGAAAAATTTGATCAAAGTAGAATTTTAGATGATTATTTATTAACTCCTCCCTACAGACTCCACAGATCCATCTATCAGTGAATGTATTAATTCTATGTATAGTTTCGCCTTTACTCTTTGTTTTATTGCAGGTGGCATGTCATCTTCCTCAATCAAATTATTGTCTAATGAGGTAGCAAAATCTCTTCCTTAATTTTATGGTTTCAACTAAGCAGGATGATCTGATTGTATTTTTTTTAAAAGACAGGGTCTTGCTATGTAGTTCAAGCCAGGCTTGAGCTCACTTTGTGGCCCATGCTGGCCTCAAACTTGCAGTGATCCTCCTGCCTCAGCCTCCCTAGTGCTGGGATTACAGGTGTGTGCCACCATGCCTGGCACTGATTGTATATTTTTAGTGGAAGAAAATTTATCATTTCGTTTTTCATTGAGTATTAAATCTTCTTATTTCCTATACACCTTATAGGAAATTCTCCCTTTTTAAAATCCCCTTTAGGGCCAAACTACCCAAAGCTTGGGAAACTTGCTGGACATGATGTACCAGGAGCCAGCACGGTGGTCCTACACATTCCAGACCTGTTCCTTTATGAGCCGCCTGAAAGTACAGCTGGAGCCCTTCCCTGAGAAAGCCTTACAGGCCAAGAAGCCCGTGCAGATCTTTGAGAGGTCTGTGTATAGTGACAGGTAAGATGCCAAACCCTCTGCCAGTCACAAACCCCTTCTTCAGGTCTGTGTTTTCCCTTTTTCCACAGGCCATGTATTGCTGTAGTTATTGAAGGCTGTACTTTGAAAAATTGTCTTCTTTGTGAAGGCAGCTTTATACAAATTTGTCCAAAGTTGTAATTCTACTGAGATATCATATTCATATATGTCAAGAAGAGATTATGTTTTTCATAAGCTAAATGCATTGAATTTCCCACATCGCCACTGATTGCCTTATGTTTCCTTATTTTACTGCATAGAGGCAAGCTGGTAGCTACCTGCTATAACCATTACATGCTAAAAGGCACAGAATAGATCAGGTAGTAGAGGTGCATGTCTCAGAAACCAGATGGTTGGTTATTACCTTTAAGAAGAAAGTAGATGGATTTAAAATGTGTATTCCTAAAATGATTACAGAATATGTATTCATCCTTTTTTATTCATCAAGAAAGGATGTCTAGGCGAAAATAGCATATCATGAAATTGGCTTCTGTCTCAATTTAGCCTTTTTTTTAAAACTCCTTTTGTGACAGGGCTTACTGCTCTCCAGCGTCTAGAGTTGAAAACAAGTACGTACGTGTGTCACTTCAGGGGAAGGGCGCATCCTGACCACCTGGGGGAGGGAGATGTAGGGTCACTTCCAATAAAGATCAGCAGCTAGCGTGGGAAGAAGCCCATCTATTTGAGAAGAGGTAGCCTAGCCGCGCTTCTGAGTTCCTGGCTCTGCCATGAAGACCAGAGCGTGACTTGGGGTGCGGACTCCTGGAGATGAAGTCAGGACACTGCTCAGGTTTTTTGTATTCGAAGGTTGCAAATGACTTTTGTCAGTGAAATGGTACTTTCAAGCAAAATTCTGCCTTACTTAAGCCCTGTTGATCTATCAGAATGAAAGATGTGGCATTTTCATTTTCTATTCACTGCTGAAGACATTTAGTTGGCTACCCATTTAATTCCAAATTAGATAAACTAGTTTTGCTTCCCTGTGCTCTCATAAAGCCTCCTGGAAGAAAGAAATCAAGGTTCATTGTGCTTGTTCTGACTTTACCTCAGACTCATGTAAGATGTGAGACAGAACTCTAGGGGCTACACATGCCTTCTTTCTAGGCCCCGAGAAGCTGCTCTCCATGATGGCTAAATGTGAGCCTCGTGATGGATGAGCTCTGAGTTTTAGTTCTTTCTTCACTGTTGGCCGCACTGCAGCCTGTTTTCCTCTCTCCACAAAGCCTTGTCTCCCGGAGTGGGAAGTTGAATTACAAATAATCACCTGGGTTGCTTGGAAACATACACAGTTGATCTTTTGAATTCTAGACCCTTAGTGAGGTAGCATGCAAGATCCCTCTCAGAGGAAGACAGAGAAATAGAAATACTTTGTTAATTAGAAATGCTTTGTTAAGAAGCTGCCTAGATCTTAATGTTTACTTAAAAAGAGAGAGGTAAGAATTGATTACACTATGAGGAGCTACAGCATTTCAGGTGCTTTCATCAGAGAGGGCGTTTTTAGATAAAAAGGATAGCAAATCCCAAATTCTAATCTTGGAGGGTAATTGAGACCTTTTCTATTATTCTACAAATTCATTCTAGGGCTGGGGTTGTATCTCAGTGGTAAGCATGAGGTGGTTGTTGGGGTTGGGGAGCATCTTTTTATTTGCTCAGCACAGATTTATTGAATGTCTCTTTTGGGTACTAGGCTTGAACCTGGGGCTGCAATGGAGAAGGCAGACCAATTCCTGGCCATAAATATCATAGTTAAGCAGGGACTGGACTCATGCTCACGTGGTGTGGTCTGTGTCCCAGAGGAGGAACATGGGTTATTTGGGAGAGTGGAGTACAAGGGTGAAGAAATCTAAGACTTTTTGGATCGAGTTAAAGGGAAGGCTAGCATGTGGTTGGTTTTACAGCAGAGGCCGCAGCTGTTAGGTACTTGACCCTTATTTTCCACAGCACCTGCATGCAGTCTGTGTAGCTCCCTGTCCATGAGTGCTTACCACCTTCCCCTACTATCCCTTCCTCACCCATCACCACTAGCTTTGGGGGAGTAGGTAAAGTGCTCATTCTGGGGAGCAGAAAGGCCCTCTTTAGAGGACTTACTAATTTTTCTCTATAAGGTGGAAATTTCATCTAGTTTTCCTTGAAGAAACTGAGCATTTTTCAGACCTGGAGTTACTTTTCTTCATTGTCTTCAGCTAGACTATAGCTAGACTGTACCAAACTGGAAGAATTTCCTTCATTGTTTCCAAATTAACCTTTTCGTAGCCTAGCAAAAAGCATTTTAATTATAACTAAAAGATACCTGAATGCTGTGTGAGTCACTTTTTGTCTTAGTTGCTTTCTCATTGCTTGGACAAAATACCTGACACCCACAGTTTAAAAGAAAAAAGTTTATTTTAGCTCACGGTTTATAGAGGTTTCAGTTCATAGCCAGCCAGCTCCAAGGCAGGGCAGCATGGCAGAAGAAAAACAATCCATGGCGTTGCAGGCAGGGAGCAGCAACCATCAAGGCAAGAGGGAATATATATATATATGTATCCTTCCAAGCCACACCCACAGTGACCCCCCTCTCCCCACCAGGCTTCACCTCCCAACATCACACCCAGCTGTAAACCCATCAGTGGACTAATCCAGTGTCACACACCCATGATCTCATATCATACACCCATGATTCAGTCACCCCACAAAAGCCCCACCTATTAGCACATGAGACTTTGGGGAGGACATCTAGATAGATATAAGCCAGAACACTCTTCCAAGGACTTTATGAGTATAATAACATGCAGTTAGGACAGTGGGCTGGGAGAGTTCAGGTGACTTCTTAAGGTGACGTGGCTAGTGAACGTTGGAGTCAGGATTAGGTCCTGCAGAGTTACACTGAGACCTGCTCTCAAGGGTGGCACTCACAGCCTTGCAGCCTGCACTTCTCTGATCGATTCCTACACAGGGATTCTGAATTTCATTTTCCTAGAAGTGGCCAGTTGCTGAGTACTGCCTTAGAAACTGGAGGTCACTGTTAAAGATGGAAATTGTTGTTTTGTATCTAGATACGTGAAGTTTGAAAGCAGAATTGACCCTCCGAAACCATGGTTTCTGCTTAGGTCTGATTTCCTATTCATCAGATCCTCCTTTTGTTGTGGAAGTAAGCAAGGAGAAAAGTGTGTTTGATTTTTACCTTTTGCTTTCTTTTATCTGACCTAGAAGCTCAGCAGCAGCAGAAGCAAGCTATAAGAGCTTTAGAGGATAGCCTGCTTTCTTGGTAACACTGAGGTCAGTGGGAAATGCATTTCCTGCTCTATGAATGACACCACATAAAGACAGTTGCCTCTCCACTTCTTAGCTAGAGAAAAGGATGGTTGGAGACTTGGAAGCTCTTGGTACTTAAATGAAATGCTGTTGTAGGTGGTTTTATACTTGATTTTTGTTTGAGGCCTTGCTGGAATAATAAGGAGATCTCAAAAGCTCAAGTTTATATGCACCCTCTGCTGTATACTCTGGTTTCTAGCAGGGAAAATTGTCGGGGGCCAATGTGTTCCTCTTCCAGTCTCCCCCCCCCCCCACCCCCACAGTGAGTTACTCCATCTAGTTGCTATTTTCCATCAAACTGTTGAGCAGGGAGGGAGCTGTGAGTTAAGAATTCAGATTGCTTAAGGATTGATGAGGAGCTAGAAAGGTTAAGTGGTTTGAACAAACATGGAACAAGTTGGTTATTGATTTTGCTGTTTCTCTCTTTCTTGTGCCTTTCATTCCCTTTCCCATTCTTCCCCTGCCCTTCCCACTTCCACCCCATCCCACTTACATTCCTAACCAGGTACATCTTTGCAAAGAATCTTTTTGAAAATGGTTCCCTCAGTGATGTCGAATGGCATATCTATCAGGACTGGCATTCTTTTCTCCTACGGGAGTTTGCCAGCCGGCTCTCCCTACATGGCTTCATCTACCTACGGGCTGCTCCCCAGGTAACTGAACCTAAAGGCTTAGACTTTAGAAAATGCTTTTAAGACAATAGGAAATCCTTTAAGAGACATTCTGCAAGCCCCTAATTTTCTGGTCAGAGAAGTTAGAGTGCAGGCGTTACCACAGTGTAGAACGCAGTGGGTGGACACCTCTACTCTAGCACTGAGCATTGCATTTCCTACATGCTGCAGCATATTCAAGCAATTGATTGTGTATAGAAGGGGGTCTCTTGGCGGAGCAAAAGCCAGAACAGGTTGGGCATCATCTCCATCACTCCAGATTTGCATCTCAGATGCTCCAACCTGCAGCCAGTGGCCCCTTCCTTCCTTTGGTATGGTCATTGGAGGCTGTAATGGTCCTGTTGGAGCCAGATGTTGGGCATCTTTATATTGGGAGTTTCTAGGAATTATGACATAGAAGTTAAGTCATAGAAGGAAATAAGAAAGTCTAAGGTTTAAGATGAAACTAAATGTCTTCATCACTTTTTTGTTGCTGTTACACAGTACTCCACACCTATCACTTAAAGGAGGAGAAGTGTATTTTTGCTCAGAGTTCTAGTTCATGGCTGGCTGGCATAGCAGAGGAAAAGGTACTGATATCATGGTAGCCAGGAAGCAGAGAGAGAAGGGAGGATCCTGGGAGGGAGATGTAACCTCCAGGTCATGTCTCTGTTGACCCTCAAACAGGCCATGCCTCCTTGCAGCAAGTCATCCCTAGTGCTCCTGTAATCCAGTCACCTTCCAAAAGTCCCACCTCTGAGCATATGAAAATTTTGGGGGCCATTCTTGATCTAAACCGTAACACTGAACTAGAGGCTTAGTGAGGCCAGAGGGCTAAGAAGCTTCCATGAAGAGAACCGAGTTCAGGTTAGGTAAATTCATTGCAAGTTCCCTGGCTGGGTCACATTTATGTGACTTCTTTCAGTGGTCTTTATTTGGGGGGAGTAGGAATAGGAGAGGCAAAATTTGAGGTCATTATATTTTAGGGAAAGGGATTTGTGTCAGTGAAGGGAAAAAGAGGAGTCCTCTGCCAGAGAGGACAGCTTGGAGTACCTGAGGGCAGGAGGCAGGGTTAGAGAGAAAGCCTGCTCCCAGGAAGGCTCACGGTCAGGACTAAAGAGGAGAAAGAGTGCTGTGGAGTTGGACAGAGTGGCAGCTTGGGTTGGAATTGGAAGAGGTGACAGGTTTCCAATGGGAATCATGGCATGGCTGGACTGAAAGAAGTAAGAGATTGCAGGAGTAAGCACCAGGAGAAGGGGCAGTATTTATACATGGTGGAATACTGCTCTACCATAAAGAAAGATAAACGAATCATTTGAAGGAAAATGGGTGCACCTCTAGGCTATAATGTTAAGTGAAATAAATCAGACACAAGCTTAAATATTGCACGGTTTCTTTATATGAGAAACATATATTATAAATAAAGAGCAAAATAAAAGACAGATAATAGGAAGTAGGGAGATCTTTCTCAGATGAGGAGGGGATCAAGAGATGAGGGGAGACGAGAGGAAGAAAGGATGAAAAAAGAAATTAAGATGTGTTACATACATGTACCAACTCCACTCAAGGAATGTGAACATTATGTACTACAACTGTGTACTAATACACATTTAATAAAAAATTTGAAAAATAAATGCAGATTCCCATCCTGAAAGAGAGAGAGAAGAGACAGTGCTGACCTAACCTGTTCTTAGAGACAGAGTTTAGCCCCAGCTTTGTACCAGGAAAACCACACTGGAGGAGCCAAGGAAAAGGTGAGCTGACTCAGTGCCAAGAGTGAGATAGGGCTGTGTAGCCAGCTCACAGGCTTTTGTTTTGGGGGGCCAGGCTGAGACCCACAAGGTGAGCAAGTGTCCCTCACTTTTATGTGTGCACGCCACGTGACTGGTGAGAAAGGGGTGGGGGCGGTGAGGAGGAGGATGAGGATTGTTATTGGGGGACTGGTGTGTCTTCTTGGAGAGACTAACTGAAGTATTTCAGCTGGTATAAAAAGAAGGGGGTTGAGGGTTATTGCAGCTTAATGGCAGAAAAGGAAAACAGTTGATTCACTTTGGGATTAATTAAGGATTTTTGTGCTATTTTGATGGCATTAGATCCAAGAATGCCCATATCCTTTCCTGAAGTGGCACGGACCTCTTCTGTGAGATTCATGGGTAACTATCCCAAAGGAAGAAAAGAACAGAAGTCAAAATATCTCTGCCTGAAATATATCAGTGCCTGACATTCCAGCGCAGAGCCCTGGCAAATAGCAAGTTGAGAGTGTGTGAGAAGGACCTCACTGGAGCCTTTGGCTCCTTTTCACTGGTTTTCCCCTAAGTTCTAAGCAGTAAACCAGCCTGCAAGTTCAAAATGATTAAAAGAAGCTAGGCATGGTGGCACATGCTTGTAATCCCAACACTCAAGAGCCTGAGGCAGAAGGAATGCCACAAGTTAAGACCAGCCTAGGCTACACAGTGAGTTCAAGGCCATCATGAACTACATAATGAGACCTTGTCTCAAAAAACAGTGGCTAGGTGTGAGGGTTGCTCCAGCCCTTTGGAATCAGGGAGAGCACAGCGGGTCAGGGTGGCTCAAGGAGGCAGGCCCTGGCCAGGACTGTGAAGCGTGGAGACAGCATGCAGGAGGTGCATGGGAGCAAGCTGCACCTGGGACTGGGTCTTCGGAGGCACGGTAACCAGACCCCCAGCAGTCGTGGTCCAGTTGCCGTCTCCCATGCCAAGCAGTCAAGAGCGTTTGTTCATCCTGGGTGGGGCAGGTCCAGGAAATCAGCTGTGGGGCGCCTCTTCTGCCATTTGCACCTACACTGGCTTTCCTGTTCGCATTCAGGTATGTCTTCCCCATGAGGAGCAAGGTGAAATGGGGCCAGGCTAAAGCACTGTTTGCATAGGGTCTTTTTAAAGAATTTGTCATAGGTATGCCAATAAAGTAAGAATTTCACCAAATGCTCAAAATAGAAGTTTACCTAGTTGGGGGTGGGGGGTATTTGCTCTGTTAAATTAATAGTAAAACAAATATGCACATTTCTTAATGTAAAAAATTTCTCTATCCTTATTTGTGCTTGAAAACAAAGCTATATTGTAAAAAGCACTTATCTTAACTAATTCAGATATTTTGCTCTCTGAGAGGCAAATTAGGTAGCTTTGCTATATTTGGAAATCCTAACTGCTTGTTAACCTCTAAGGAGGCAGTTTGACAGTATATAATATGTAGTGCTCTTACCTTTGACCTGTTAATCATAGTACTTGCAGTTCACTCCATTGAGGGGCCAGGTATGGTGGTGCCTGCCTGTAATCTGAGCATTCCAGAGGCTGAGGCAGGAGGGTTGCTGTGAGTTTGAGGCCAGCCTAGGGCTACGTGTCTCAAAAAAAAAAAAAAATAAGTAAAAAATAAACTCCATTGATAAACTCATGCATGTGCAAAAGTAGCATGCACAAAACAACATTGTTTGTAATAGTAAATTAATGGAAACAACCCAAGGGTCCATTAGTAGGGGCTGTTGAATATACTATGCTCTGACCATAAACTAAAAAGCTCGGAAACTGTAAAAGAGAATGAGGAAGTTTTTTCTGTATTGATAAGTAACAATATCTAAGATATAGTCTCTCTTTTTTTTTTTTTTTTTTTTTTTTTGATATATTCTTTTTACTGTATCAGGAATCAAACTCAGGACCTTGTGCTTGCCAGACAGGTGCTGTGCCACTGAGCCATATCCCTGGCCCCTAAGACATATTCTTAAGTGAAGAAAAACAAGTACAGACTATATGGTGTATCTCTCCCTCCGCTTCCCCTCTCCTTTCCCCTTTCCTCTCTCCCCGTCTCCCTCCCTCTCTTCCTCTCTCCCTCTTTCCCTGTCTCTCCCTCCCTATCCCTCTCCCTCCCTGTCTCCCTTCCTCTCCCTGTCTGTCTCCCTCCCTTCCTCCCTCTCCCCTGCTCTTTTTGGAGCTAGGGTTCTTGCTGTGCAGTTCAAGCTGGCTTTGAACTCACCATGTAGTCTAGCTGACCTTGAATTCACTGCAATCTTCCTACCTCAGCCTCCTGAGTGCTGGGTAGAACAGTTTCATATGTGTTCTTTTAAAAGAGAGGGAAGGAATGTGTATGTGCAAAAACTATTTCTGAAGGTGTGTGAAAAGTAAACAATACTGGTTATGGAGGAAGAAACCTGGGTAGCTGGAAGTCAGGGATACAGTGAAAAACTGATTAGAGAAGGGGAGGAACAAGAGTGAAAGGTCTCAAAGCCATCAGTAGTGAGGGTGGGGATGCAGGGGTAGAAAGACAGAAGGAAAGAAGAAGAGGCAGGTTCAGAGCGCAGAAAAATAGAAATAGAAAAAATGAAAGTAAATAAAGATAGATGGACGTGGAAAGGCTGGATATCAGAAATGAAAATGTTAGATGAGTATGTGTCATCCTGCCTTCCTAGCATCCTGTGCAGACCTTCCTCTGTCTTCCAGTTCATCTGGAAAACCACCAGGTCTGTTTCCTCAGGGCCCGCAAGCACTTGCCTCTCAGGGTGGTGCTCAGTAAGCTGAGGCCTAAGGACAAGGGGAAGCTCTGCAGAAGCAGGAATTGGAGCGCGTGCTGCCTCTCGCATGAGACATGTCACCCCCTCCTTTATCTGAACTGCTGTACTTAGGATCCAGGCACATACAGTTCAGCACTTGATTTTCTATTTTGCATATATTTTATGTATCTAAATTATAAAATTCAAAGCACAGGGACTCTGTCTGAGTTTGGGGTAATTATTAATTGATTAGAAGAAAGGCAGAGACAAGAAAAATGATAAAAGTATTAACCCACAAGACTTGTCTCTATTCCTCAATTCAGAAAGCTGCAAATAAAGTCCTAAATGAAATTTGCTTACATGATTTCATCTCCTTAGAGAAAAGGTAAGGGAAACAGCAAAGTCCTAATGTTTTGGGAAATATGGTGTAGTATGGTAGAGAATAAAGCTCACATTTTTAAAGTATTTGAAAGAGGGAAATCCTAAGTCAGAGGGTTAAGCCATCTGTATTTCCAAGACAGGTGACGTTGAATAATGAAATGTTTTGCCCTGCAGAGAAAGGATCAAGGGCAATTCAGGCAAAACAAACATTTGGAGCAAAAGTTCTGAGGTGTGAAGGAGCTTAGCCTATCCACAGGAAAGAGGTCAGATCTGGCTGAAGCAGCGAGGCCGGGAGGAGCTCAGGACCCTGAGGAGACATAGGAGAGACAGCCTTGTGTGACAGGTAAAGAAGGAACGACTCCTCTGTGTCTGTGTGCTTCCGCCTTTCTCGCACACAGGAGAAGAGAACAGTGCGTACACTGCAACGTGGAGGGAAGGGAGAGTTAGTGTCAGGGCTCACTTTTCCCCCTCGGCTCTTTGTTTTATCTTGGTCCCATGCAGATTTCACCTTCTATTCCAGAGTAAGGATCTCATATAATATGAAAGGTGTTTCAAATTGCTTAACATTTTATAAATATGATGCCTGTCATAGTTCCTTCAACTTGTGGTTATGTCTTTTTTTTTTTTTTTTTTTTTTTTTTT